ATTTTGTGGCTTGAATCTAAAAGGATCAACTATTGCATTAGATTCCTTTTCTTGTTCTCTTTCATATCCTAAAACGTCCAATTTCAAGCAATATTAACCGAAACATAAATGATAATGATAGTTAATGTCGTTATTAATTCATTGGTATCAGTTTAAGCTAAAGCGATATTCTACACAAGCCAAAGCTTGGACATTATGCAAACCGCAAAAACTGTAATTTTCTTAATTATAAAGCTTTTGACATTAGCCCTTTAAGCTCCAAGCCACAAGAATTATTAGGCATTAACAACAAAGTCAAATTAATTTTATCAAAGCTCATAACAAGCAATGCTGTTCTGTTTTACGATAAATAAAGGCTATAATTAAATTATCATTAGATCTTTTTAGCAACCTTTTCGATGTGAAATTGAACACAAATTGGGGGTAAGTTGTGTCGGAGCCGGCCCTGTTATATGCAAAGTAACACTGGATAAAGGTGGCTACGTACCAGGAGAAAGCATAGGTAAAGAAAAATACGAACTCAGATAAAACAACACAGATGTTAATTAATTAATTTTGATATACTGATTATAACAGGAATTTCTGCGAGTGTTTATAATCGCAGTAACGTAACGATTAAAAGTACCAGAGCAGCCCTGACTGAAACTGTGGAATATTTATCAAGAGGAAAGATAATTCAATCCGAAAGAAGAGAACTGTCTTCGATAAATCGGGGTAAAATAAAACCGGGAGAAGTTGACGAGTGGGAAAACGAGCAATTGTATGTCCCCCCACTGCCCCCTACTAACCTCAGGGGTTGTCATTTAATAAAAATTAATTATGATGTTTATGTAAGTATAAAACCAATAAGTCAACGCATATAAAACATTTTGTTTTTCCGTATTTTTAGTTCATTATTGAACCAAAAAGTTTAGAAAAGGAAGTTAAACTTCAGTTACCAATTATGATTGCAACATATCCGTTTAGATCGGACGGAAACGATTCTACATACAAATCTGGAACACACTACCCTTCTACATTACCAGTTTTTAGACCGTGGTTAGAAGACAAGCCTGTGATAGAATAACAAATCTTCTTATATGTTATTGCAATACCGCCATAATATATTAGTTTAATAGCGTGATGACATTATCTTGTATATAATATACATATAGATATTTTACTTTATTTCTAATATTAACTTTTATAGCTAGGTACCTATTCTAAATTTCTCAAATGTTAAGAAATTAACAAAATTACGATAAATGAAGAAAATGTTTTTGTACACTAACTATTAAAAACATAAAAAAACTATTGATTTCATTCACAATCCTAAAAAGTCGCATCAAATAATATTATTTTAATATAAACTTACCAATTTTATTTTTTACCGTCTGTAATATCCTTTAGGTAATATCCATTGTCAAACAAACCACTTAAAACAAACACACTTTTTCAAAACGCGATCGCGGTGTTAATTACATTAATATGTCGTTCCCCGATCCGTCTACATTGTCTTTAAGGAAAACACAAACTAACTGAGCAAAACTTACCGGACTGTTGCCAAATGCTTTAAACAAGTAAAAAAAACAGCAGCAAAAAACGTTATCTACCACTGCCTGAGAATGACCTTTCCAATAACACATTCTTTCACACAACAACAACTGAAACTGACTTGTATAAATCTGAAATAATGTTTTTAAAGACTACAGAATATTTCGAATAATCTTTTAAAATCTGTACTTTGTTTTACAAGTAATTGGAGACTTTTGATTTTTACACATAAGGAAAGTTTATTTATTTGTTTTAATAGTAATATTTGGGTATATTGCTGGGTTTTAAAAAGAATATTTATGAATAGGAAAAAAGTTTGATATTGGGCTACATATTATATTTATCATGCTACAACCTATTTAACAGGACCGTAATAGTGTAAAAAATATAGAAGAAGAAGATTAAACTCTGGAAGAAAACGATCAAAAGTCATCATTTAAAATCTTACATAATGCATAATTAATTGTTTTCCTAGAGTTTCTTTCTAGTAATTTTTTTTTTATTATACTCATTGGTGTTTATTAAGTCTACATTTTACGAAACATTGTAGACGTTATTGAGAGTGAATGGCAGAGATAAATTTTCATTATAATTCATAATTCATTCATTGGGTCTACATTTTACGAAATATTGTAAACGTTATTAAGAATAAATGGCAAAGATAAATATTCATTATGAATATCAAATGTTCAACTCAAAACAAATGAGAAAATACTTGAACATTTGAATATTGAAAATATTTTGATATGTAAGTAATAATAAAAATATTACGTTACAAATTCGAATTCCGGTTTAGTTTATATGGGAATATACACAAGTGCCTACCTTATTTGTCGTAAATAGATAAAGAAAGTTGAACTTTGACATGTAACTAACTGCTTAATACATTCAATTGGCTAAACATTTTATTATCGTTCTAGCTGCTTGCGTGGTGCTTGTGGTTTATTAGAGCCCACGAACAATGGGCAATCTTTTAATTTATTCACTTATTTATATAATAATTTTGTGTCCCATCAGTATTAATTCAGGTATACATTTAATTAAGAAATATTTGATAATAATTATTTAATTGTGTCATGTGTTTTAGATGCCGTTTCAGATAGCAAAACAATTGCAAAAGTTGAGAAAAAGTTGAGCGACTACGTTCTAACAATATTAGAGCATTTCAAGCAGAAAGATCCTGTAGGACTACCGGGAGCTCCGATACCCGATCCCATGGACATACCTCCCATGACCCATTCATTTTCTGTAGGACGAATGAATATGAAAAATGTAAAACTATACGGATTGAAGAAATTTCGAATCGATCACATGCTAGTCGATTTAGCGGCTATGCAAGTGGAAGTTAGGATAAACATTAAAAAACTTCACGTTTTTGGAAATTACACTTTAAGCACTTGGCTATCGTCATCAAATGGACCTTTTACAGTAAATCTTACTAACGTTTTTGTAAAGGGCATTGCCCGTTTGGAAGTTGAGAGAGGAGGGCATTTGGAAGCCCAAGAAATGAACATGGACATAAACTTCAAAGACATCTCGATGAATTTTGAAAGATTAGGATTCTTGGCAAGTGTGTTTCAAGGAGTTATGAATTCCGTTGGTACCTTCGTGTTCGATTCAATAAAACCGTTCCTGTTAACTGAAGTAAATACGAATGTCAGAAAAGACGTAAACAAGGAAGTGCAAAAAATCCCACAAAAATTCCCCAATTCTATTTCTCCTCTGGATCAACTAATGGCTGAAGCAAGGAGAAAAGTCAGAGACATGGGATACGACCCATACAAAGTGGACGATTATAATCAAACAGTCGGATTGTGCACCATCTTCATGACCCATACGTGGATAACAGGATTATCTTCTTTCCACAGAGTCGGAAATATCACAGTCGAATTACAAAACAGCACGTTCTACATTAACATGGAAGTCGGGACGCAAAGATTAGAAGGGACAAGTCATTGGGAGGTCTCCTTAATCGGTATGCTATCTAGGGCTGGTAAAATTAAATTCACAGTGGAGTACATAACGGTAAGAAAATCTATGAACACGATCTATAAAAATTTACCTCGTTACATACAATTTTATTAAAGGTACTTGTTGTCGTTGAGCAAAATGTAGACGTAAGAAAAGGTCCAATATTGGACGACATACAGATAGAACTGGGAAACATTCAAGTTAGGTTCGATGGAGCCGGAACGGTGGATTATTTGATAGAATTCGGAGTGAATATTCTCCCTAATCTTCTAAGATACCAGATAATGGACGCATTAGAATCTCCGATTAAGTCCAGAATCCAGGAAACGCTAGACAGGGTAAATATGGAACAAGTCATACACCAAAATCTGCCAAAGCTTGACGAACAGCAGGCCAAAGGATTTCAAGGGTTCTTATAAAGGTTTTTATTAAAATAAATATTTATTTAATTGCCGCCACATCAATATGTATATGTACAATATGTTAAATTTAAGGGAATTATAAATAAGACAAAGTTTCGCTAATAAATTTATATTGTCAACTCGAAATAGACTCGTGATTAGGTTTGACAACATTTTGTATTTGTTTCTTGTTACCAATTAGTGCCTGGGGTTGGTTCTTCGACTACTTTAATACAACCAATCGTTTCTCATTGTATCTACGCAGTTTTAAAGTCAAAGTTCTATATTTATACTTATAAACGTCAAGATTCTTACTCCCTAATGAACCGCAAAGATGATAGACTCTAAAGAAACTACAAAAAAGGCAATGTTATTATAATAAATGGGCAACACTTTACACATCACTAGAGCAGTATATAACAATAAATATTCAACACCTCATTACATTCTCTTTTAGAAAAGTTTAACAACATTTTAGGTATGTTAATTTAATATAACAAGTTCNATTTATTGCTTAAAAGCTCGTACTATTGATTACCGTTGCGGTGAAGAAAATGACCATAAATGTCAATTAAAAAGTCAATTTGTAACGCAAAACCCGCAATCAAATCTGGAGAGACTTGAGTTAAAGAGTTTAGAATAAATGTACAACAATTAAATATACATAAACAACATTAGGAAGAAAATTGTGCTTTGTGTATTGGACTGAATCATATAATATGTAAATGATGCCACACTTTTCAATTTAGTTAAGTCAAAAGTTGGACGTGGCCATTTGTAACTTTTTGTTTTGGATTATTGAAAAGTTTGCGTTAGGGGGACATATGTGTGTAGATATATATTAGAAAACTAGAAAATGCCAAGGTTCGTTATCGAAGGAGACAGCTTCAAACACACTTAGTCATTTTATGTTTACTTATATTTACTTATACTAAGTTACACAAATCACATCCAGCATTTTCCAAGCAGATACCAACGAGTAAGTTTACCAACAAAATATCGTTTGTGATTTATCATCGGAAAAGAAATTTATATTTTCTCCGGCGCGACTTTTTTTTTGTTGGAAATGCTACATTGTATCATAAAACAATTGAAAACTTATCATATTAAAATGCAAAACTCAATTTAGGTAAACGTTTTATATAGCACTGCCACGAGCCATTGATTGGACGTTTGAGGTGATAATAATTGATAGACCAATAAAATATGCAAACCATTTAAAACGCGTTCGCTGAAACGTTAGAAATTAAAATTTTAGTTCGTCAATTATGTTAGGTTTTCACTAAGTAATTGCACTAATAATTTATTAAGTAAACAGTAGCTACTGTTATATTCCAGCGAAAGTTTAGATTTTAATTTATTTTACCTTCATAAAATAGACCAATAATTCAATATTTAAACTTTAAAATAAATTATATCATCATCATAAGGTCGTCAGTCCTAAGACTGGTTGGACACGTACCTCCACTCTTTCCTATCCTGAGCTAAACTTCGCATTTCCCTAAAACTAGAACAGCCCACATCCTTAACTATTTGCGAACAGTAATCTAATCTAGGTCTACCTCTACCCCTCCTAACTCC